TATTGCCCTGAACAACGCGGCTGGCTTCAAATAGTGCTCCGGCTCCAAACGTTCGTTCATCACAGTCATCACTGATTACATCATCACAATGGTGATGTTAAATTACACTACATTTTGTTTCACTCGCACTATAAGTATCTTACACTCATAATTTTTAAAATTATGTTTTAATATCTTAGGTAGCAAGATAAAAAGTCCTTAAATAGAAATGAAATATGGGTTTCATTGTACTTAAGTGCTGTAGATTTTTTTTGAATATCAAAAAACGCACTAAAACTTAACTGGTAAAGGAACGACTATTTTTTGTTATGTTTTATTATAATAAATGAAATTGATAGGTACTAAGGTTTTCAAACAGTTCGAAAAGAGGCTTTGAAAAATAGTCTCAAAGGCCAAAACATTTTATAAGGTAATTGCAAGGTTTAAACACAAATCAGTGGTTCAAAATCATTACGCTAATCGAGGTCTGAATCTGACTACTGGGAAAATGGGACGTTAAAGACTCTGTATATCGTTTAAAGAAGAAGCGTTTTGAATAATTTTGCAATATATCCTTTTTTGTCTATTGAGGAAATTACAATTATCATTATTTGTCTTCCATTAAGTTTCACTGGTGACATTATAAAGATTCGTGAGTCACACAGTAATTTTCTCCTATCCTTCTACAGTTTATAGCATTATATATTTAACAAGGCACACACCGTCCGAACAATGACGTATGATATTGGCGATGTTAAAAGCCTCCGCGTAGATAAATTTGTTTGCACAACTCGAGTTACTGAGTGCACTGAAAAAGGACGATAGCCGCAATTCGGGCTAATTTCTAACTTGACTATTATAAAACATCTGCCAACTTTAATTTAGGTATGTTACCTTTCGTCTTCTCATTGACAAAGATTAAGCGATATACGTATAAAAGGCAAGTAATTATAAAATACTAAATAATCAAATCCCGTTTCACGCGAATACTGTGTCTGTTCTCCTGATCAATTTACAAGCAAGTAGTGAATCAGGCTTTTGTGCTCTTCCCGACCGAAACACATTCATTGTATCCCCGGTACTCAAACCCTTAACTAACAAAACGTCACGAACAACAGCTCAACTTTTTTGAATTGGTAGGTCAATACTCTGTGGGTTCGAGTTCCTTCGTAAGGCCCTATTGATTGCGAAACTGCTAATTAAATAGAATAGACAGCGAATTGTATATAACCAATTAGTGACCAATTAAAATCACAAATAACACGGATCTTATTACTCGCGACCTTAAGACGGTGCTAATAAGTACTTACAAATTAGTAAAGCCGAATGTAGTCCGAATGGAAACCGAAGTTCGACTTCTCATTCGGTTCAATCAATAAGATTTTATTTAAGACATACAAATCAAATTCATTTTAGCTAAAAAGGAAAATAATAATAAGTTAACTTTGTCGCAGCAGTGAGACCAATCAATTCTTTTAAATGTTAATTGTGGGTATGGCTTCGATCCCCACTGGATCCAACATGTTCCTAAATTTTTCAATTTATAATATTTCTGCAAATCTGTCATTCATGTCAATCATTAACAAAACATACGCATAATTCCTTTCTTCCAGAACGATTGTTTTACAATTTTATCACGTAAAGTAACTTATTTCTTGAGCGAAGAAAATACACAAATTCGGTTTAAGCAGCCAAGATCCGTTTGAACTATGATAAACCGAAGCTTGGCCAATCCCTACAAAAACAAGATAAATTTGTTTTCACTCTACGATCTACGAACATAATAAAGATATGTTGAACATTATTTATAACGCGATATTCACCTTAAAATCTATAAATAAATTCGTGATCTACTGTCGCTTGACATAAAATAGCATATCGATATTTAAAAATTATAATCAGTTAACGTGTTTTGGCTTTCCGGGCAAGATAACAAAGCATTGAAAACCTGATAATAACCGTTTAAACAGAATAATCTTACAATAACTGTAATTTCTTTTACTAAAGCAACTGAAGTCGATTTATCTCGCAAATGATATGTAATGTATGATGACTTATGTAAATCATAAAATGAATCTGAGACGCAGAATTTATAATTCACGCTTTAATTTTCGTCTGTAAAATTAAACCCACGACCCGTTGAGTACTTGCGATAGATTACTACCATTGCACCATGTAGAACGTAACAACACATACGTAGGTATATAAAATATCATTATCGCCTAGGATCAATTTGGTAGTTAAATCTTTCGTATGTACTTACATAATATGTATTATTATTATATTTTAATTGTAATTTATAAATTTAAACCTGATATAAAATTTTATTACACGCCCATCTGCATATTATAATGTATTTTCCTGTTTAAATAACTTCATTTGAACTTATTTTTTGTGTCGACAGCAGTCACTTGTGTTACATTTCACATCTAAAACATATTTCCATTTAAATACTGTCTATAGTTTACGCGAGTGGTACACATTTAAATAAAACACTTTAACGGTTTAAAACGCGATATATTAGTTAAACTTATTTGAAAATGATTTTTAACTTCGGCTCGACGTTTCGGATGCTTTGCAGCAGCCGTGGTCACGGGGAGACTCATTCAGAAAATCATTTCCAAATAAGTTTAACTAATATAACGCGTTTTAAACCGTTAAAGTGTTTTATTTAAATATTTCAATTTGTTTAAAATTAATTTAGTTCCCAAGCTTTTGGCCTTGTTATCAATTAAAGCTAAATATAATTTTAAAATAACGCCAGTATAACTATTTATTTATTACTATATTTAAATTTATATATTTATTTTTAAATGTATGACTTTATTTTAAATATATTTAAAGATGCCGAAATAAGAAACCGTTTATGTAGAAACGATTAATAAAAAAAAATATATTCTTATGAGTTCATCACCTGACATAATTATATTTTTTGTTATATTAAACTTTTGAAGTAAAATTTAATGAGTAATTAATTATATATAGACATTTAAACTTGGTATATTAATAAAAGTGCGAATACACTCTTTTCCACTGATCAGGGAAGTAGCTGATCGGACTGTGTCATGTCCGACCAAAATAATTTAATATTTCCTCGGGATTTGAACCTAGGATTCTCTTGTTCTTAATACAATGCTAAGCAACGACGGTCGCGGTCACCCATACTAATTGTATATTTATTGGACTCGAGCATATTATTAAAAGGCTTGTCTAGTCTAGTATTCGAACCCAGAACATCCACAAAATGCGATTGATCACTAATCCACGCGACAATGTTAGTAAATATGTTTTAAATACTTTCAAAGATTCGAAGATCCGTAAACAATCATAAGATGCCAACTACGGACACTTATTTGCATATTCTGTGGATGTTTACAATGTTGAATATTACATTCAATCAATTTGGCTTCCTGTTTATTGATAGTTTATAATTAGAACTGTTGCACTATTAATTGTATTAAAACACAATCACTTAATTTCACTTAATTCACAAAACGTACACACTCGTAACTTGGCGTCTCATTACTAGGTATGTTGTATGACATTGCTAAAAGTGTAAGATAACATAAAGATTTGACTTAATGTAATGCACATATTACATACTCGAAACACACAAATTTAAACCTTCGTCATGGCTATTAGAGTTTATTCTTCTTCGCATCTAAAATGCTGCTTACAACTTTTACTACACACAGTGTTAGATAAACACTGAATTCAACATTGCCAATCGAGTTTAAATTTTATTCCGTACAAATAAGGTTAATTTTCGACTACTGGGTATCGTAGAAAAACTCTACGGAAATCAGCAGTGTTTAAGTACCTGTGCGAGAAGGAGGGAAGATAGAGTTTTCTTCAAGTGGAAAAGAGAGGTCGTAACAAGGTCAGCGATTTGAGCGTGTCAGTGAAATAAATTATAATACAAGAGATCATGCTTTAGCGGATTATCTTAAATCAATACACACTATCAAATTAGATATGGATTAATTCGTTTATTGTTATGTTTCTAAAGCATATTGTATAGCTATGACTAATATATGTCTACAGCCTACACGAGGAAACCGTTTACTAACAATAGATTTGGACAAGTAAAAGAAATCAATAAATTTGAATGGAATATTTCACAAAGACAAAACAATCTTAGGGACTGAAGAAAATCGTAGTAAAAAATTGTCATGGGGTACAAAACTGTAGATAAATAAACAAGAAAGCCTTTTTTTAGAGTTCATGGAATGGTATAAAATAAATAAGTACAACAGATTTGTGAATTGCCTACTTATTTATGTAATTTGTCGTATGTTAAATATATACCAATGCTGAAAATATGATTTTTTTCCAAAATTCTTTACTAATATATTGAATTTTTTTGTTCTTTGAACCGCTAATCTCAAACGGGTTCGAATTTGGTTGGTCCTAAAATTATCGACCAAAACAATAGGCATGTGACTAAAACAAGCGAAGAACAGGAGAAAGAAAAAAACGATTCTACGAAGACGACTCATCATTATGGGTTTGAGGGTCTGAAAAAGGTTCAAGATACAAAAAATATAGAGAGATTTGATATTGGGTGCGACCGACGTCGTGGTACACAGCTTAATTTATTGGATGATGGGTTTGCAAAAACGAATTTGGGGATGCCCAAAATCACGATTCTCGCAGACGACGTCGCTTACAAGAACTGACTGGTGATTACATTTCATGTTTACAGACTGACGATTTCCAACAGACGTGTCAACTATATATTTCAGAATTGAAGATATAATTTGCCTATTTGATCAAGTTAACGGCAGTTTTTTACAACGTATAGTTACCAGAACCGTTATGGTTTTGTGAAATTATGTTAAGCATATATTTGACACATGAACAAGATTAATTACTAAGTATTCGAGCAATTTGATGACTTTGCAGAAATCTCAACAATGTTTTTTGAGAAACATCTGAAAGTTTGGCATATGTTTTTGTTCGCTTGTTTTTTGTCTAAACTTTTAATCGCTTTATGGGCACTAAGAAAATGTTCAAAAGTCCTAAAATATAAATAAAAAACTGACCTCTTCCTCCAATGCCGTTGGAAATTGCGTCAGTGGTTTTACAGCAACATCTTCTAAGGCAGCTTTGCGTCTAGAAAAAAATATATAATGAGCACTATCAGTCTATAGGTCGAGGTAGAAACCTCCTCATGGATTTTGTATTTAAGTTTTTACGCCAAATGAAAAAGCCTTCAAACTAAAAAAGTTTTACAAAAGCGGTTCAGTATTTTTTAGTATTCAGAAAAGTACCTAAGTGCCAATCGAAAAGCACGAAATTTGACAACGTGGTCAAATTCATCATCAACATCTCAAAAAGGTCGAAAAGCTAGATAAAGTGTAATACAAAGGTACTGTGCTGGCCATCCTAAATAAAAAAAAAACAAATAAATACGAAACAGCTTTCAGCTGACCTCAGTAGAATTAAGTCCATGGAGTATATATATTTAAAGGAAAAATAATGTCTCCAGACACTTCGATCTGGTATCGGTAATCTCAGCGTAATGAGAACGGATTCTGAGATGAATTCAAAAGGTTTTCCTCTCTTTATTGGAAGATTGCATTCGGTTTCGAAAGATATCGCTGTGAAGAATTATACCGATTTAACTGGAAATCGCATTGGGGAAATGGGAAAAACTATTATATTATTTTGTCCATACTCTAAAATATAAAACAGTCAGCTATAGATGATGAGTCGAGAAATCGCGAGCGAATCAAAGTCACGGCGAACGCCGGCTGTCGCGAGTTCGATTCTTAGATGTTATATATGCGACTTACATTTTGCGCTTCTTAACTGCATCACAATCTGTTGTGTCGTTTTCAACATAATTCGTAGCGTTGTAAACATTCAGACAGTTCAATTGCTTCTTTAATACAAAGTTACGTACTCCGTGTATTTATCCGTTAAATTACACGTTTTAATCAGTCATGTACCTCAATAGGATGAACTTGTAGACGGGTCCCAGCAATCCTTTGATGATGGCAGATGCGTTTAGGTGGCATCGTCCGTGGAGCACAATTCCGTTCACCTATAAGTATAGAGATATTAATATAATTGCAAACAAAATTACCAACTGGCTATAAGTAATACAACTTTAATAAACAGGACACACAAAGTAACTGTAGTAGGGCTATTGCAATTTTGAATTTGCAATATATTCTGATATCAAGAGCCAAATAGATGAGACTAATAGAGGTATAGAAAGAAACTTGTCCTCTACTCTTTCCAAGGTATCAATACCTCGTCGTCGTAGGGTTGTAGATGAAAATGAAGTGAATAATAATCGCATTGTATTCAGTTACAAAGTTTAAAATTAATTATAAATTGAACCATTTAAAATAACTTTAACATGTGAAAAATATTAAAGTTTTTAGTTACAAATTGTTTTTATTTTTGTCAACCCCGGGCGTAAAGAACATATACTACTTATTTACAAATAACTAATTATTATTTGAATTTTATAAAAGTTTGCGTTTTCTAGTTATTACATAGCCAAATAACGTTTTTGTAAACTTTACCTGTTGTATGTAAAACAGTTTGCAAAAATTAAATACCACTATTTTGCCGCAATAAATTTGGTAGTACATACTCTACATACCAATGAGTAATGTTTCCATCAAACTGCACGTAAAACGAGAATAGTCTCAGCTTCCGCGCCAATTTCGGATAAGGTTCTTAACTTTGGCGTATGGTCCAAGTTACAGAAGTAGCGATTCGCATCGAAATACAATTATTATAGAAATCTGGGGATGTATATCCAAATTGGTCTCCCTTTGTGTACACCTCAACGATACAACGGAAAGTACGTATTGTGCCTTATATTAGTTTAAATTAAATCTTTTAATCAATAAAATGACTGTAACTTAGAAAATGCAAACAGGCACAGTACACCAGTGAGGCTCAAGCGAACGGAATTCATAAAAGTCAGTTTGAAAACGCTTAAAGAAAAATTGCGTTATTTAGATGGGAGAGCTCTTAAATATTTTTAATACTCTTTTTTTATTATACCGTCAACAGAAATACATTATTTTATAAAAATTTTAACTCTCTAGCTATCGCTGTTTTTGAGATACAATTTAGAGACAAACGTACAGCGTCATAATATAAGTCCATTTTACAATCTGCGCACGAAATCCTAAAAGAAAAACGTAACTTAAGCAATAATTATTACTATACTAAATTGTAAATATATCTGTAGTTTACACGAGTAATACAAATTTAAACACCGCCGCGCATGCTACAAAACATTTGAAACGACAGGCCGTAGCTAAAATAAGTTCAAAATGATTCGACTATTATATTTCGCTTTTTAAACCGTTAAAAGTTATTTAAACATTAGTAATAAAATAATTATCTAAAGAATATTGAAACCCACTGCATAGGGTACCAAACTATCCAGATTGTATGATGGCATTGAACCGTTAGCTGTCATATCAATAGCGATTTTTCAGAGGATTACCTCAAATTTACGAAGTAAATATGATAATTACACAAATCACTTGAACTGCGGCCGATGTAATTGTTGGCGCGGATCCAAACGGCGTGTGCATTTCGCGAGAAGCGTGTTAATGTACGTGTATGCATGTAATTATTCAATTGTTGCAGTTCGATACATCTGGATGTTAAATCTCGATATGTATAAGGTTCAGCGATTTAACATGAGACGATGTCGATATTTTGGACCATTTGGATTCTGCAACCTTAACGCGTCAAATTAAATAGTAGAGGACAGTGGTTCGTGAACCTAAGTCAATCTCGATTATAATCAGCGATTCAATTGATCACTTTGTGGGAGGTGAAATACCGCAGCCCTATATAACGTCTAAATACGATGCCATGTCGAACTATTTTGGCTTTGGATATTGTAAATTGAATGGGAAACATGTTGAACCCGATGGGAATCGAATCCACGAACGATTTTGTTTATTAGTTGAAAGTTCTAGTATATGGCGGTTCAAGATGCTTTCCTTTCCAGAAGAGCAAATGCAAAAGAAAAGTCGAGTGCGTGTACCGCTAGAGTATACAGGTCTCAATTATGCATATAAATAAGATTCGAATAACACATGCGTCAAATAACATTTCTGAATACGGCTCTGAAAAATTGGTCAATCATTCGGTCACTACTCCTCATTCATTGAGTCATTCGTTTTGTTTCCACGTTTATTTTCATTCGATTTGGAATTTCGCCAAGTTATAGTTAAGATCTGTGCGAACATCTTACTGGATCTATTAAACTGAAATATAAAAAAATCTCTGCGATTATCGACGATAGATATTTAAAATAATTTATTTTGAGATTAAAAAGTAAAAAACAAAAATATTCTATATAAAATATTTTATTTTATTTTATTGTGTGTATAAAAATAATGTAATGAAAAGTTATTTAAAGATTTCAATTATTTGTCTATAAATTTTGGAAAATCTTTTAAAAAGAAAACTTGTTTCATGTAAATTTTTCATGTTTGTTGCTAGTACAACCCTAACAAGACCCCGAACTTTAAACCGTTTAATTTGGAATAAAAGTTAAACAGTTTGAAACGCAAACTATTAAATGTGTATTAATAAATTAATTGTAGCTATGACCTGACGTTTCGGGTGCTTTTCAGCAGTTGTGTGGGTTGCTGAAGATTTGTTAATTAACTTTGTTTGCGTTGCAACTCATTTCAAATGTCATTAATGTTACCCATTTGCGTATACAACCAACAAACTAATAGTTAATTACAAGATACGCCCTTTATATTTGTTAGATACACTTTCCTATGTTGTTTTATTATTACAAAAGGGGTTCACTTGATGGAAGGTATCATACCTCAGCCATACAACATCTCAAGGATGCGTGGTCGACCTATTTCGGCTTTGAAAATTCGGAAAATCACAGACTACAGAAACCGAAGCACGTGACCTGTATAGAATTTCGATATTCCTGCCACAGATTCAATATGCAAATTTTCCAGAGGAAGTTTCAGAACTTATTATAAATAGTTTTTAGATTTGGATCGTGCGACCTAGTGGGAATCGCTAAAAAGACTACCTCAAATAAAGTTTAACAAAATCCTTTCAAGATTTCGGTTTACACCTCACAATATAGCTCAATGTCAAAAGGTCGATAGGATTGTCTCAACAATCCCAGTATTATTGTTTCTCTTTAAACGAAGTACTTGTTAGGGTAACGACACACGAGCGGTTACGATTTCATTTCGTTTTACGTAGAAACAATAACTCAGGCACAAGTGCTCGGCCACATTTACGAGAAATCTCTGCAAAATTACATTTGAACGAAGAAATATTTTTATAGGTGAAAAAATTGTTGTTGGTTTTGTATTATTATTATTATTTTCCTAGCGTTTGTAGCTTGATATGTAATACTGTATTTCTATTTAATTAGAAACTTTTAAAGGTTCAAAACACGAAATGTGTTAGTTTACGGGACCACGTTCCTTCGTGACGCGGCTGCTGCAAAGCATCCAAAACGTAATACCGTTATTTAAATAAATTGTAAATAAGTTAAGTAATATTTTCGCGTTCCAAACCGTTAAAAGTGTTTTATTTAAATATATACTACTTGTTTAAACTACAATACTGTACTTACACTTTAACGGTTATGATTTTAAATATACAAATAAGTTAATTTGCTAACAAATGTACTTTGCTCGAATCTAGATACTAGTCTTATTGTTTTTAATTACAATGTCATACCTATGTATTTTCTTATTTATCTCATTATAACAGAATATGTTTTTATTAATTTGTCTTAAGCTATAATTTTTTTGGTCATACATTATTTCCATTATACGGTGTCATATATCATTTTCAATTTGTTTTGACTTCTTTAGCTCATATTAATTAAAACCGGGCGGCGTATATAGACCGCCTTAAATTCCCAAGTTATATTGTTTCTGCTACAGCCATAACTTATATTATCCTTCATTTTGAATAATGTGTGTACTTTGTTTACGCACGAATAACTTCTAGATACGAGTTTTATAAATGATCTGCGCAAAGTTTGTCTTTGACGCGTTGTTAACGAAATTGTTTGGGGGATATGTAAAGTGTCAAATTCCCTACGCTCGTTAGTGCAGTGGCGGTAATTCTAGAAGGGTTTGGGTTCGATATCGATTCGATATTCATATATGAAATTTATCCTGTTAGATATGTTACGTTACAGAAACGTCCAAAAAACAGGTTAAAAAAAGTCATAAAATTTAGATTATTACAAAAGGCGTATTATTGTTTAAAAGACTTCTTTAATGACAGCGCTGCCTGGCAGTGATATGAATTGTTCCTTAGGTCATAAAATTAACAAAAATGTATTAGTTTGTAAGACATGCTCAAAAAAGCCAGACTGAGTTTCTTGGGTATTCTTCTCGGTTATGTTACTCTTTTGAACACTGTAGAATTACGACGAACGGACAGACAAACATATTTTTTTTTTTTTACGAATCTAAATATTTTTTATAATTTTACAGAGAATAAAGCATATTTTATTTTATTTATATTATCATTATTATTTTACATTTTATGCATCTTTTTAATTTTGTCGTATTACTTTTCTATACATATCCAAAGCTAAAATAGGTCGACAGTGAACCCGTTGTTGGTCCTCCTTTACCATATTTAAAAAAGTCTATGCACTGTAGTGTGGCCGGAATGATGAAGATTTAAGTGAGAATTTTCCAATGGTTGTCAGGTAACTAATTTATTCACCAACATTATTGCACAATCGGGACAAAATCATTTGCGAATTATCGACGCGTGCGCTGTTTAGGCTAGATAAATTATTCACTCTTGTAAAAGTCTGCGACTGCTATAACGAGCCAAGCCGACCAGAGTGGGTGGGTAATATTTACCAGTTACTAAGGCCCAGTTTTACCAACAATTATGACACCGTTCAAAGAACATCGCCAAGCGATTTTAGATGTGTCTTAGTAAAAATAAGCCATAGTCAGATAAAACGCAAGCGACGCTGCGGGTGGTTACTAGTGATGAATAAGTTGTTGGCCTTCATCATTTCCTGATGATACAATGGAGACTTTACAAAGTTTATGAAACGTAGCGATCTATTTGAATCGGCGCGGCGCGTGCGATTACTATTTATACACATTATATAAATATTGACTGTACGATGTCTGTTGCTTCAAACTGGTTCGGTCTGTAGCATTTTTATAGCTCGATGAGGTATCTTACAGATTTCAACGTGTGACTAATAATCAATGGATCGTAGATTCGATGCCCACAAGTTTTGATTTTTTTCTCAAACATGTTGGAATAGTCCTGCGAATCTGGTAGGGATAAACGGGTGGTAGGAATATCTAAATTCCGTAAGGACCACGAAACACCATCCACTAATGAAAAATCCGTGAAATTAAAGTTCAGTCTGTGGATTTCCGGACGCTTTAAGCCAAAATAGGAAGTCCTCCTCTATCATAGAATAGGCATTTAGGGTTTTAATGAAGTGGACGTAGATGGCGTTGATGCCCACTGACAGTCGGAAGAACGATACGAGAACGAGAACGAACAGTATTAACCAAATCGAACCCAGTTTGTAGAATGCCCCGCTTTTAGAATTAGTGCTTCGTAAACTTTTCTCATTCGTCACTACGCTATTTGTATCTGTGGCATGAACACAGATAACAATAGAAGTAGAGTAAGGTAGAGTAGAGGAATATGTGGAGCTTAGTTTGAGAGAACTGAGTTTCATTGTTTTTTAATATCAAGACGAAACAATTAGATTTTGAAATACGAAATTATAATAAAACTAGAAAAAAAGATATAAAAGATGTATTTATGCGTTTTTTTCATTCATAATTTAGTTACGGAGGCTCAAGTTAAAAGCGTCCTACGTTCAAAATTCAGAAAAACAAAACAAATAGTGTTAGTCAGAGCGGGTACAGAAGTTATCAACTACTTGCCTGTAAAAAATCTATAACTAAAACAGACAGAAATAAATTAATAAGGGTAAGCAATGATTTTGCATCGACATAAAAATGGTTAATTAATTTTTGCGGACAACGCCACCTATGGACCAATTCAATATGTTGCGAACAACGCCATCTACATGTTTCTTAATAACTATTATTAATTAGCCCCCATCGCCTCAAGAAAGAAATCACTTTGCACTTGCAGTGTTGTTTTACATTAAATAATTTTCTTAGACACAAAACGAATTTTCAATCAAGTATCCACAATTCGAACATAAATATTTGTTAGTTATATTTCAATTATAATAATAAGCCTATTAAACCGTCGAACTAGATTTAAGCTACACCATTGTCTTTTACCCTGTTAATACAGCGCGGTGCCTGTTCGTCTCAATTAGACTGTTTACAAAGCGCCTACCGCCTACTGACTAGCTATTCTTGATTTATTACTACGAACCCACATAACATTGTATCCGAGGAAGACAATGCATGCAGCTACTGTTCAGAATCTAATTAAACTCGTACGCTTCTACAGGCACTGTATAAAACCGGAGAAACCTCATTAGTTTCTAACAAAACAGCATATTTGTTTGTTGATTTAAAAATGTTAAGTACAGTCATATTCTTAGACTAATTATTAGTATTGAAAACACGCGACTAAAACCACTTGAGCTACCGTGTCCAACAGGTCATTAAATACTGTCTGTAGTTTAGGCAAGTAGTACACATTTTAATAAAACACTTTAACGGTTTAAAACGCGATATATTTTAGTTAAGCTTGTATGAACATTATTTTTAGTTTCGGATACTTTGCAGCAGCCGTAATCACGACAGGTTATTTTCAAATTTTTCAACCTATAGATACATGTACATCTTACGCAATTGGTTAGAGCAACAGCACGGAACGCTGTGGGTGCCACATCATGTCTGCCCGTGTCGTAGTGTCATAGTGCTATCACGCGTGTCATTTTTAAAACCATTTGCTTAACTAAAAAAACCCATAATATAATAAGTAATCAAAAATATGAGAAAGGCATCTCTTGGAGAAAGCTAAACAAAACTGGAAGCGTCAGCAACGACCGGAATAACTAGTGTTTGTTAGTTTCCGGTCCATCAATTTTTATATCAAATTTTCGGATACGCTGAAAATGGATTCTCTTATCCAAAAATCTTTGTATCTCATTGTATTTTTTTCATAGTTTGAAAAAGTAACGAATATTTGGATGATTGGAACGAAACTGCAATGGAAATTTTAGGGTCCTGCGATGTCCTTTCATCCCCATTGGCTCCAACATTAGTCTAATAAAATTATTATTTTTTAAACATGTTAAACTTTGCCTAGGAATCTGGTAGTCCGTCTACTAATGAGAAAGCCGTGAAGTTGCATCACGTTTCGGTTTCAATCTGTGGATTTCCGAATATCCAAAATAAACATAAGTCTTTTTAGTGTCTGTCCGCTTCAATGATAAAAAACCTCTATTTGTAATCTATTGTCATTGTGATATACATCTATTATTAAAAGATTGTTTAGTATTTGTTATCTTTTAATTTAATCGCTGAAACGGTTTAATTTAATAATAACTATAACTCGTTTGTGTGTTAGATAAATGGTGGAGGCAATTTCAATGTAATTTAGAATCCATATTAGTTTATTGCGATTTTGAAATCGGTTTTAAGTAAAAATAATTCTTACCTCCAGGATCTCGTCTCCGACTTTGACAGGCGGTGAAGACTTCGCAGCGGATCCTGATGGATGTATCCCGCATATGAAGACGGCCATCCTACTTCTATCCCTGTGTCCGGCCAAGCTGAGTCCCAGGCCATGTTTGGCGTGCTTCTCCAGTTTGACCACAACAATGCTTTCGCCGAGTGGGCCATACTTCTTTTTAATTTTATCTGAAACAGTATGATAGCTTTGTTATTATCTGTGGAAAAATGTTATAAGTCTAGAGGTAAAATTTATAAGACTGAGAAGTAAAGATGGTTAACTTTAATATTCTATAATTGACCTACCATATAACCCTCTTTACAACCCTTAAGAAAGTATAGGCATTTTTAAACTTAAAATAAACTCTGTAGAGTTCATTTCAATGTAATTGTAATTTCGTTTGTAATTGTAGTACTTTAAAAAATAGGTTATGCTATAACATCAGCGTTTTCCTGAGACCTCGGCTGCTGAAATATTTTGCGTTTTAAACCGTTAAAAGTATTTTATTGAAATTTTTACTATTTACGTAAACTACAAACAACATCCAAAACATTTTTACATTTAGTACTCTTAAAAGAGCCACCCTCAAACATTCGAATAAATGATTAAATTGCCCTCAAGAATACAGTCCATATAAATTCCTCAGTCAGTACATATAAATTCCTAACAATTTGCGATATTAACTAACAATAATTCAAATAAAGGCACAAATTTATTTTGTCACAACGAAAGCCTTAGGCTTACAAAAAGCCGATGGATACTCAGAATTTTCATAGAATAATAAAAGATATTATTGTTGCTCCTTCAGAGTTGTGTCGACAAATAATAACTTACTTAGCGGTGTTCCAAGAAAAGGCTTTGTCTTCGTAGATAATATAATGTATGTATTATCTAGCGAAAGTCTGTTAATTTACTATCCGCAGGACTAATATTAAATAAAAATAAATGACAAAATAAACGTATTATAACTCGATATGTATATTAACCCGAAATTAATTAATATTAGAAAAGTCGGGTCACAGTTGCAAAATTAGGTAATAATAATATATTACATAACCATAACTCAACTTCTTTGTGGTTTGTATCGTGAGTTTGCATCCCTCTGCGCTTTAATATTTCTTTAAAACACACACAAACACATACACACACCCTTTTCGGGAAAAGCTCAAATAGTCTACATTAGTTAGAAATGCGTGATTAGGCACACTGAACGAAAAGAGGTTTTTTTCGATTTTCATATTCAAAATGGCGTTTGCGCCAATTTTCGTTATGATATTCGTGATTAGGAGGTCAAAATACATAAGTATACCAAATTTCAGATCGATCGGTGGTATGCGCTTTTCGGAAGTACACCCGAAATTTTTCTTTCTATCTAAACTAAATGCGCTGTCGACCCATTTTTGCTTTGGTTATTCAGAACATAGATGTTTACTCGTAATTCCTTTACATATAATTAATGTTTGTTAACAAAATTAATGTAGATCTTAATCTTAAATTAGTAATTAATTAAGATCTGAAGACAGAAATAGGTAGATTATATTTAATCTTTAAAAAATAATCGCACAATTTAATTTAAAAATTGTGTGATTATTTTTCTACATATTAAACCTATTTACAGCCCTTTTCGCCAACTAAATTAAAATGCATGTATATACATATAAACACAATACTTTCAAGAGCGCAAAGTAAAATATGTACTGTATCTTTCGGAAAATTATAAGATGAAATCACATGAACGAGAAAATAGTCCATTATGTCCAATTTGCTGCAGGAAATTTAATTTTCACTTCACTTCAGTTGAGAAGTACATTTTCTTTATCTTCTACTAGTGATAGACTCAATACTATTTCTGTTTTGTAAGAGATATGCAATTCTGGAAATGTGATATCTCTTAAAATGGTACTTTTATCAAGGCCGATGTACGCGTGCACGCTTTAATCCCGTTCAGTTATTAACCACTTCCGTAGCTAAGTGGCTAATAACTGATTGGTCAGCAGGCACGAAAGAGTCTGATTAACTATAAAACTTATAAATCGATAAGTGAAACGAACACAAAAAAACAAGCCCCAGAGGTAGGATTTTACCCTTCAGTTATAAGATTATTTTTTTTTTGAAGATTGAAAGGAATCTTGTAAGAATAAGGTCGGAACAAATTTAAGAAATAAAAAGTTGACAAAATAGTTTTATGTGTTTTAAACAAATTGTATAAGTCAGGATAAAATGTAAATACGTTTAACTTAAAAATTATGTACAATGTAATTTTACAAGTTTTCTTCAGATCAGGCCTAGAGTACGATTTCCAAGACCGAAGTTTGGAAATAAATGTCGTGGTTCGGAGAACACGGTACCTCGTGGTTTATTACCAACCCACACTGGAATAGCGTGGTGGATCAAAAACGTTAATTGAATAGAGATTTGTGCCTATCTATTTAAAGTTGTAATAATCTAAAGGCCTTTTGCTAAAGCGTAAACCTCGTGTATCCCCAAAAAACCTCACTTCATATTCAAGAAGTCTCCAGTGTGAAAAGCGAAAAATAATATAATACGACCTCGATGTCTTGACCCGACTTGGCCTGACACCCCAACGATTGTCAATATTTGGAAAGTTTGCCAGTTCACAAGTTATAACCGAGCCGAAGTTTGATTTATTCCGTGCTTTCGTCTATTCCTGAAATAACATTTGGACCTTTTCAATTGTTTGTTTCGTGTTGAAATTTATTAATACTTTACACAGCTGTATACAATGATGGGAAAATAACAAATAGATGGGATTGGATATAAGATTTTTGTGTGTAGATTTTGCTTAATTCATTAAACTAAATTTTTACTTTAATATTTTTTGTATTGTAATTTATTTCTTGTTTTTATGTACCTTAAATTATTATTTTTGTATAATTAAAACAATCCCCGCATGCCCACATTTTTTTAAATTGCAATTATTTTAGCAGTCCACTAACAGGATCGCATAATATATCAAGTATTGCCTACAGTTAAAAGTAGAACAAATTTAAATAAGACTCTTTTAACGGTTTAAGACAATAAATATATATAAAAATGGTTTTAATTTAATTTAACTGGGACTCGACGTTTCATATGCTGAAGATGGAGGGTATCCCTAATGTCAAAGTCAATTCTGCTACGGTAGAGCCATTTGTTTCGGGATTTTGGGAAACTAATGCATATTTATGTCAAATATGTGAACTAATATAGTTCGTGTTTTAAACCGGTAAATGTATTTTATTCATACACAATATAATTTTACTTCAACACTGTAGATAGATATTATTTCAGAAATATTCACATCAAAACAGAGAAATTCGCGATGATATTAAAGAAGGGATATCACCCGAATACAAGTTAATTACGTTAATACACAGCCCGAGGCGTAAGTAATAGCTAATCCCAGCATATTTAGCGGTAGTTAAAGCAATAAAAATGAAGGGCGCAGGGCGTTGTCATGATTAAGCCCTCTCCAAGTCCCTAATAAACTATTTGACCGTTTTTTTATGACAGATGAGGACAGACGGTTAGATACCTCGCCATATAACATCTAAAAACAGATCTGCTATCGCCCTATGCTATAATTTACATCTTATTCATCTTTGGCGCGACAACGATTTTCTATTCGAATTCGTTTGAAATTTTAGTATGAAAACAGACATAGAATTGTACCCAACTCATTTCCCAGTATGACCAGACTTCAAGTAAATTAAAAATTGATTATAAATTTAAAAAATGTACGATACGGGCAGTATTTGAACCGGGAACCACAGCGTTCGTGCTGTTGTTCTAACCAATTGAGCTACCGCGTAATATACGTCCTTAAAGTTTTCAATAAATTCAATTACTTATTTCTTTATATATACTTAAATATATAAAAAAAAACTTGAGATTTGAACACTAGATAGCAACAGACAATGCGACAATTAGTTATAGGCCATTAATCAGTCATGTCTAAATTTAAATAAAAAATCTTGGCTAAACGACGCTTTACGGAAATTCACTGGTGGGGAATTTAAATTTCCCTATAATAATTATATCCACCCGGGTGGTTAAGTCGAGGGGTGCTCGTGGTCGGGTCAAGAGTGCTCCAGCGCTGACGTGAATCGAACACGACCTTCCATCACATCCACGTTGATCTTCATTCAGTCGCGAACGAGATATCGTAAAATTTCATAAGCCAATACGTTGAGTGTGACTACTGAAAATCAGCATGATTTTACGTAACTTCAAAGACGTTATAACTGTATCAAATCAATTTAAGAGGTTGTAAAGTAAGAAAATATATTTTTTATTGTAGTACTATATGTATCTAAATGTTGAGACCTTCGATATATGTAAGTACACCGACAATAAATCAGTAATACCCCGAATCACGGCACCCACTCTGAACGAATTTAGAGATACGAGATTTTCCTCTTTCCATCCTCTCGTTTCGATCACTTTACGATAGATTTAAAGTAATTTCACGTTACTTATTCGTACGAAGTTTTAATATTAACATAAAGTTAGTCACAAAAAAAAACTTTTATTTAGATGAGTTTGAGCTTTATTGTGTGTCTAAAGATATATGTATGGTTCCTTTAATACTGTCTATAGTTTACGCGAGTAGTACACATTTAAATAAAACACTTTATAGGTTAAGAACGCGATATATTAGTTAAACTGATTTGAAATTACGAGTCTCCCCGTGACCACGTCTGCTGTAAAGCATCCGAAACGTCGGGCCGAAGTTAAAAATCATTTTCAAATAAGTTTAACTAATATATCGCGTTTTAAACCGTTAAAGTGTTTTATTTAAATGTATGGTTCCTTTTAATTTGAAATTATTACGATTTAAATAACTCAGAGCTAAAGTCATCGGATAAAGGAGTCGATTCCTACTAGATGTAGATGTTTGTAAATAATTTTCCGAAATTTCCAAGTTCTTAACAAACCTTTCAAAGGCGTGTTTTTTTTTTTTTTTTTTCTTCCGGGCATTTCCAATATATTTTTTGGGGTATACCCATCCAATATAACCCAAAAACCAAAATACGGCCGACAGCGCATCATGTTAACGCTATCGGGGGGAGGGGAGGTGGAGTATTTCATCTTACATCGGCTGAACTACAAGCTTAATTCTCGAAAAAATATTTAACTTTTACAAAAATATATTTCGATGTAACTTCTCAAAGGTTATCGTAGCAAG